AATATGGCGAGAAACAGCGCCACCAATCTGCGCAAGTTCGTCCACATACGTGAGTCAACCGGTTGACAATCTCCTTCATGAAGTAGTCGCCTTGCAGATAACTCGCACACATGACTCTTGTTGAAAAATGTATTGTAAATGCAATTTTCATACTGTAGTTCAAGTGGCAATGAATGCGAGAGCTTTGGTCTGCAGCACTACACAAGCGGTGAAGAATTGGCACAATGAAAGTGTCACCTTAGCATCGGAATGTATATACATTGTTTATCATTGCGTTATTCGTCATTGCCAAGCTCATCCTATGTGCGACCCACTGACACCAGGAGCCATTCAAGTTTTCCAGGTCTCCTCGCGCCCAGAAGGAGTGAAGAGCTCCTGCAAAGAAATCGAATGAGGGTCAAACGAACAAGGGTCAAATAGAATGATTCGGAGATGGCTAGGCCTGAGTGAGGTTCATCGCTGACAAGATCTGTGACAGGGCCTAACAGATTGCAGTGAGACGGCGCGGGTGTCTTATCGAGAGCAGGCAAAGTAACGATAATACAGTACCGCAACCATCCCTAGGCCTGACAGCACTTCAAAATCGCCAGACCGCTTACGACCTCGAAGCACATGAGAGTTGGCAGAACTTCTGAACTTTTATCTACTTATCTTCACTGAGCAGGAGACACTGCCAGCCCCACAGCAAGAGCAAAGCTCTGCCGACGTTCCCTGTGTCGTCTTGCTTTGGTCCGATAGGATCAAAGATCAAGGGCATACCTCGTTCGCAAGATACGTACAGAAGCTCTGATCATGCATGTTTCTCCAAGTTGCCGTAAAGATTTCGGAAAATCTGCTGCTGCGTCAACTGCTCCAATTTGTGAGTGTACTCTTGAGCCAGAATCTATGGAACAAGCATGGATTGTTGCAAGCAATGCAAGGTGTTGGTACCTCTGTGGACAGGTTGCAAGCAGAGTACGCTGAGGGTCAGGCCCAGAATCATATTCTCGTAGGTGCGTAGTCCTGAGATACAGGATGGAGCAAAGACCCTTTGCGCACTATCATGTCTGGAAGGTTGCTCTTGCGCGTATACTCCTCAATGCTCAGCTACCACAGCCTTACAACATGTTTCCTAGCTCCGTGTTAAGCTGTGCAGTGACTTCCTGCACCGCAAGTCAAGCTCTACACGCCATGCTCAACAGATGCAAAACGCACAGTTTCTGCGATACTCCATCTTCCACCGCGTGTATTCAGTGTTGCGACCACCACAGCGTTGGATTCCTAGCCGTACATATTCAGCTACGTCATGCCTTTTCACACGTCACAGAGTACATGTTCTGCAGATTTCGTGGCAGGCGCAGCACTTTGGACATGGTTGGTGGTCTTCGAGGCGCTCTGATTTCGTGACGGGTGCAGTGAACCGTAGCTTTGTTTCGTGGCAGGCGAAGCACTCTGTGAACCTCAAAGTGTACATTTCGTGGCAAGTGCAACACTTTGTATTGGTCCAGATTTCGCAGCAGGTGCAATTATGTTGTGTTTACCATTGTTTACCAGAGGTTTGGAAATAAACAAAACTCTAACTATTTTAAATAGTTTAGTTATTTTGGGTTTACCGGAGGTTTGGAAATAATTAAGAATTGAATTATTTTTCTTTATTTTAGGTTTCCCGGAGGTTTTGAAATATTTAAATTTCTAATTATGTTAATTCTTTTAATTACTAATCTTCATTCTTTTAACTACTAATTTCTAATGGTTTTAAATAATTTAACTATTTTGAATAGTTTTACTTATGTTGGGTTTCCCGGAGGTTCGGGAACAATTAAATTTTTAGCTATTTTAAGTATTTGAGTTATTTTGAGCTATTCTATTTATTTTTAATCTATTGTAATCATTTTAAATATTTTTCCCGGAGGTTCGGAAACAATTAAGATTTTAACTATTTTACTTTAATTATGTATAATTTTTATTGTTATGTGTATTTATTTTCCCGGAGGTTTGGAAATAATTAAAATTTTGATTATTTTAATTAGTTTAATTATTTTACTTATTTTGAGTTATTTTTGGGTTTACCGGAGGTTCGGAAACAATTAGAATTTTATTTATTTTAGTTATTTTTAATTATCTTAATTATTTTTGGTTATTTTTCCCGGAGGTTCGGAAACAATTAAAAGTTTAGTTATTTTACTTATTATTAGTTATTTTAAATATTTTTTATTTGTTTTAGTTATTTTTAGTTTTTTTTTCCCGGAGGTTTGGAAATAATTAAAATTCTAATTATTTTATTAAAATTCTAATTATTTTAATTATTTTAATTATGTTTAATTATTTTTTGGTTTCCCGGAGGTTTGGAAATAATTAAAATTCTAATTATTTTAATTATTTTAATTATTTTTAATTATTTTTTGGTTTCCCGGAGGTTTGGAAATAATTAAAGTTCTAATTATTTTAATTATATTAATATTTTATTTATTTTTAACTATTTTTTGGTTTCCCGGAGGTTTGGAAATAATTAAAATTCTAATTATTTTAATTATTTTAATTATTTTTAATTATTTTTTGGTTTCCCGGAGGTTTGGAAACAATTAAAATTCTAATTGTCTTAATTATTTTAATTATTTTTAATTATTTTAATTATTTCCAAACCTCCGGGAAACCAAAAAATAATTAAAAA